TAGTAGAGTGGGGAATAAACTGGGCCATGAGGTTGCAGATTGTGTTGGAGTATGGTTATGCTGCTGATGGCCCACAGTGCCTCATGGATGCTCAGTCTTGCATTGCTGGATCTGTTAAAAGGTTATGCCATTTTACACAGTGTTAGTGCCCCAGACCATCATAGAAGCTATTCTGAATGTAAAGGTGGGACTTCATCTTCAAGGGACTGTGTAATGGTCATTGATACTATTACAGAAAGATGCTTCTGTTACAGGCAGTTTAGTGAGGATGAGGGCAAATATATTTTTCCCCTTCTTGTTGGTTCCCTTTCCATCTGTTGCACCCCCAGTCCAGCAGTTACATCATTTAGGACTCAACCAGCTTTATCTAGTGAAGTTGGGTGGAGTATCAGGTCAGTATGTGGGAGGCAAAAACAGAAATTGTTGGAAAAACTGAGCAGGTCTGGCAGCATCTGTGGAGAGAAAACGTTTCGGGTCAAGTAACCCTTCTTCATTATGTGGGGATATTGCTGGGTTTGGGTATTGGGTGGGAGACTGTGTCTGATTAGATCTGGTATCAGTTCTGGTTGAGGGAGGGGCTTGAGCAGGTTAGGCGGGTGTCATTTAATAGTTAGCCCAGAATGAAGGCATTGGGCTCTCCACAAATGCTGCCAGAACTGCTGAGTCGCCTCAAAAAATTTTTGTTTTTGTTTCTGATTTCCAGCATCTGCAGCTCTTTTCTAATCATTTAACTTTTCTGAGGTAACTATTATGTTTAAGTGAGTCCCGAAGAATTCCCCGACTTCAATGGACTTTTCCAGAGAGTGACTGCCCATCTGCAATCTGACTTGCCTATGTAACGCCGGCGCAATCAGCTACACAAGGAATTCCGCTCGACACACTAACGCTGATCTCTTGAGAGCGTAAAGACAGGAACGAGCACGTAAAGCGAAAGGGCGGGCCAGACGCGCGCATGCGCGGTATAAAACGCCCCGCCCCGTGACTGGGTGCTGTTGGGGTGGTTAGTGGTGTGTGCAGTGATGGGATCGCAGGTTTCAGCTCGAACTGGCCGGGGCCGCCTGAGGAAAGAGCGGGCTTTGGACGCTGAGAGCAGTGAAGATTTACTGGGCGACGATAGACAGGAGGACATTGCGCGGTTCCCTTATGTAGAGTTCACTGGCAAGGACAGTGTCACCTGTCCGACTTGCCAAGGCACCGGCCGCATCCCGAAAGGTAACAAGCTGTTTGTACTTTAATAGGCGACTGAAGTAACTAGCGTTCGCGCTTCCTGAACCCTGCTTTTCAGGGCCTGGAGTATTTGCCTCTTCCCCAGGGCAGGTCTGAAACACAAGGCGTTCTGTGGCTGAGCATCTGTAGTTCTTGCTATCTCAGAGTGACTCGATAGCCGAACGTAGTTCCTGGAAGGCGAGTTAATGGAATGTGGCAATGTTGCTACTATTGTTTTCGTTCATCTCAGAATGGGTTGGTTGTGCCTCAGTTAGTTGCTATCAGGGCATCAAGGGTTCAGGGCGCCCCCCCCCCCAAAAACAATCTCGATTGACAGCCCACTAGTGGTGAGCGAATGCTTTATCTTTGGACGTGCTGCCTTTTCAATGAGATGTTAAACAGGACTTTGTCCCATTTTTAGGTGGATATGAAACATGATCGTTTAATTACTGCAGTTGGGCTTTTCAGCAAGTTGCCGCCTCTTGCAAGTTGTGAC